AAGATATATCGTGACCTAAAGCAACACTTTTGGTGGAGTAGAATGAAGAGTGATATTTTTTGATTTTATTGCCAAATGTCCAAACTATCAACAACTAAAGTATGAACACCAGAGGCCCGGAGGAACACTTTAGAGAATGCCCATTCCTGAATGGAAGTGGGAAAGGATTGCAATGGACTTCGTGGTTGGCCTTCCCAAGAAAATGGGTAAGTATGACTCCATTTGGGTAATTGTTGATAGATTGACTAAGTCTGCTCATTTCATTCTGGTCAAGGTGACTTACAATAGAAAGAAGTTAGCCAAACTTTACATTTCGGAAGTTGTTCGGTTGCATGGGGTTCCACTCTCCATCATATCAGATAGAGGTACGCAGTTTACTTCTAAGTTTTGGAAAACATTGCATGCGGAATTGGTTACTAGGTTGGACCTTAGTACTGCGTTCCATCCTCAGACCGATGGTCAGTCTGATAGAACGATTCAAGTGTTGGAGGATATGCTTCGTGCGTGTGTGATAGAATTTGGTGGTCATTGGGATAGCTTCTTACCTTTAGCAGAGTTCTCCTACAACAATAGCTATCACTCCAGTATTGATATGGCTCCATTCGAAGCATTGTATGGGAGGAGATGTAGGTCTCTCATTGGTTGGTTTGATGCATTTGAGGTTAGACCTTGGGGTACTGACCTTTTGAGGGATTCATTAGAGAGGGTGAAATCTATTCAAGAAAAGCTTTTAGCGGCTCAAATCAAGCAAAAGGAATATGAAGATCGAAAGGTTAGAGACTTGGAGTTTATGGAGGGTGAGAAAGTTTTGCTGAAAGTTTCGCCCATGAAAGGGGTGATGCGGTTTGGTAAGCGAGGTAAACTTAGCCCGAGGTATATTGGTCCATTTAAATTTCTGAAGCGCATAGGGGAGGTGGCTTATGAGTTAGCCTTGCCTCCAGGGTTGTCTGGAGTACATCCGGTATTTAATGTGTCTATGTTGAAAAGATACCATGGGGATGGAAACGACATCACTCGTTGGGATTCAGTTCTTCTTGATGAAAATTTGTCTTATGAGGAGGAACCTGTTGCTATTCTAGATAGAGAAGTTCGCAATTTGAGTTCAAGGGTGATTGCATCCATCAAACTTCAATGGAAGAATCGACCCGTTGAAGAAGCCACTTGGGAGAAAGAGGCTGACATGCAAGAAAGATACCCACACCTGTTTACAGATTCAGTTACTTCTTTTCTCCCTTGTTTCCTTCTTATGATCGTTCGAGGACGAACGATGGGTAAATTTGTATCTATTGTAACGACCTGTTTAGTCGTTTTGAGCAGCAGATTTTATTTCTGGAAAAATTGGCAAAGTCGACGGATCCCACGACGAACCGTCATGGGCACGACGGACCGTCGTGGGGGTCTCGTTCCAAAACACTTAGAATTCTAATATTTGGGTACTGAAATCGACTCTCTGAACTTCGTGACGACATGGCAGGACGGACCGTCACAGGCGTGACGGACCGTCACAGACTCTTCAGAGAATTAAGTCTCTCAACTCTATGACGGAGCAGCAGGACGGACCATCACAGGAACGACGGGCCTTCACAAGCTGCGTAATCCAAGGCTGGGTCGGATTTCTGTAATTATTTTAAGGGGCATTTTGGACTATTCCGGTTTATAATTATAAAGTTATTGGTTTAATATTAATAACTCAAATACTTGAGGTCTAAAAGAGGTAACCTTGAGTTAATTAGTGGGTTAATTCGTCATTCTTTTATAATTAGTTATATTCTAAGGGTAAAGGAAAGAGGGTTTGAATAAGAAAAATAGAAAGAACAAGAACAGAGAGAGAGAGAGGATCGATCGAGACAAGAGGGAAACGAAGAGAAAACAAAGCCTTGAGAAAATTGCTTGCTTGATCACGAATCTTCGGTGGAGGTAGGTTATGGTTTTTATACTATTCGTAGTAAACTCTTAATAGTGAATGATATGTATGGGTAGTATTGTAAACCCTTCTATATGCTTAATTGTATGCTTGCATGAATGTGATTATGTAATTGTGATAAAATAAGCATGAGGAAGCTATTGAATCCTAAATTCTGAGAAACCCTAATCTACTTTGTTAATGATGATGCCTTAGTGTAAAATAAGGCTTGATGAACGACAGTAGTGAGATTAGGGGATCGGGTGCCACGTTCCGGTACCAGGATAGTATATGAGGATCGCAGTGTCACGTTTCGACACCAGGATAGTATATGGATCGGGTGCCACGTTCCGGTACCAGGATAGTATATGAGGATCAGAGTGTCACGTTCCGACACCAGGATAGTATATGGATCGGGTGCCACGTTCCGGTACCAGGATAGAATATGGAACGGGTGTCACTTTCCGACACCAGGATAAAATGAGGATCGGAGTGTCACGTTCCGACACCAGGATAGTATATGAGGAGCGGAGTGTCACGTACCGACATGAGAAGAATAAAGATAATGAATCTTGAAAGATGTTAATATACTCAATCTAATGAACCTAATTCCCAAATGAGTATGATGAGGAGGCGTGAGTCCTCATTGATGTGCTTGGTGTTGTAACCAAGGGTTATGGTAATTTTAAATGCTGCATGCTAAGGATATTAGTTGATTTTATGATGTTATCTGATATATACTGTTTTCTATTTTGAGTTGGCCGATGATACCTACTCAGTACTTGTGTTTTACTGACCCCTACATGTGTTTTTTTTCTTTGTAAATTGTGGAGTGCAGCAAACGTACCGTCGTCTTCAACTCAACCGCAACTCTAGCAAGTCTTCATTACTCCGGATATCAGGGTGAGCTAATGCTTCTAGCTTGGACTGGATCCTCCTCTTCATGTCTTGATGCCTTGAAGTTCCGGCATGGACTAGCTGTTTATGTATTTTAGCTTCTTAGATATTCTTAGATTTAGTAATTTGAAGTAGATATTCTTGTGATGATGAATTCCAGATTTTGGGGATAATAATAGTTGTTGAGTTTTTAGAAGTTATTGAATTGGTTTTTATTAATAAGTTTAAGTCTTCCGCATTACTTTCTGTTGATATTATATTGAAATGTTAAGGTTTAAATTGGTTGGTTCGCTCACATAGGAGGGTAAGTGTGGGTTCGAGTCGCGACCTGATTTGGGTCGTGACATATAATTTTTATATTAAATATTTTGAAGGTTATGAATATGAAAAGTTAGGAGTTATATTATTGAATTATTGGTTAGGTGTTATATATATTATTAAAAGGTTAGGAGGTGTCATGCTCATTAAGAAACTTATTAATAGAAATTTATATATATACATAATATTATTGTGTAAAAAAATATATCTAAAAAGCCCTATTTTTTTAATAAAAAAATATAGATATTTTTCTCATCATTGAGGCATGCCATATAGGCAGATTAAAGATCCTCATTTACATATATATTAGGCAGTGATGGCCCGTGTAAGCACGGGCCCAACAAAAATTTTTGCGAGTTAAATTGCGCACGTACGTATCTAGGGACTATGAATGACTTTTATGGGCTAAATTTTTGCGAGTTGATTGCGCAAACAAACTTTATATAAATGGTTGCCAATCATTTCTTTGTAGTTGTGGCTGCATTTACATAGGATGTTTACATCCTATACTATTTACATACTACTACATTTTAGTTTCTTTTCAGTGTTAGTACCTAGAAAATGTACCTACAGAAGAGGAAAAATGATTTTAAATTTAAAGTGGAATATTTTTTTATGCAACTAAGTGCGTGCATTTATTTTCCACTCCTTATGAACTGTAGTACTACCTAAACAATTCAGTGGAATGTTAGCCCAAGTTTGCAACATGAGTTGGCCACAAGCTAGTAATAAACATCACCTGAGAGGCAACATACTAAATTTTTTTCTTGTTTTCCGTATATATTATATGTGGATGGTGGCACAAGATTCACTTAAAGCAATTATAAGTTTTTGATCAATAGATGAATCGTTCAGCATGATAATTCATAATCTGATAAAAAAATACTTTTTCATAAATAAATAACAAAGAAGCATGTGTTGTCTAGAGATAGATGAACATAAGATGTCATAATTATCACATCTGATATTCCACTCCTACATGATTTATTTTATACGTATCGTTAATCATGACCATCAACTATCTTCAATGTCCTGTCTATTTGTTGAATTTGCCATATATAAACAACCACTAATTCTACTTATTGTAGTAATGATACTATTTCCAATTAATATAGTATATGAATATGAACATCAGAATTTCTTTACTATCCAAGCATAAACACAAGAGTGAAAACAAATGTACTACTTCCTTGGTTTCTAAAACCAACAAAGCTGCAGAACATGATTGGCTTAACTATTATATAAAAAAAATCAATGATGAAAGATGTAAATTGACATTGCCTTGGCTTAATCTTTTGAATCTAATTCATTCTCTCACAATTATCTTTCTAACAGTCAAATTTTTAATTCCTAACCAAGAAAAAGAAAAGCATGTAATGACAAAAAGTAAAACTTGGAATGCAAAAGGTTAATAATGCTTACTTGAAATTTTGAGATAGTAATCAAGAAAAAAACATCATCATTCACAAAATAAAGAACAAACTAATCACTAAATACCATAAGACATTAAAATGAAAAGTAACAAAAATTCTTCATACTGACGAGAAATTAGCAACACATATGCATACCATTATTGTACAGCAACAACAAATACACTAAAGAGGAAGAATAACTATACATATGCCATGTAACTTCGTATCAGTAATGAAAAAGTCAAATAATTTTCTATGGATATAAGAGATAAGAATATAATAAAAAATAATCATCACAATTACACATTTTTTCAAAATATTTTCATTTAGATTTGCACATTTACTCTTAATTGTGCTCCTAAAAGTTGAAGTAGTTTGCTCCTAATAACTATCAACAAATTGAAGTCAATCAATATAGGAGCATATCCAATTAATCATTAGCAAAATAACCACACAAAAAGCACAAGCAGTAGATGTTGAAACACCTGATTCACATTTATTCCATTTCAAATCATCTACTGATTGATCAGAGTGAAGAAGATTGAAGAAAATGTGGTGAATGAAAGCTTAAATAATTATCAAGCCTGATAAAAATTTTATGTCGCAACTCATCATGCTGGAGATGAAGGCATGATCATCTGCTAAAAAGGTCTCTCTTTGTTGTATTTATACGGTGTTTCTAATCTTCATTCTCTGCATCACTATATCTATGGTAGATTGACAGCCATATTTTCCTTCAACAAAGCTAGAATTTTTTTCAAATTCAGTGAAGTGAAATAATCTGCTACAAGTTGTAAAACATCTATCAAAAGAGAAAAGTTAAAATTAATAAAAAAAAATATCAACTATTTTAGGCATATTATCAAACACCTAAAACGTTCATCAAACTCTATTAGCAGTAATTGCATACCTTAATTAAACAAAAAAGAAAGAAAAAGTCATAATAAGGCACACACCTGATATAACTTACAACTCAAATTGAGATAAAGGGAAAAAATATTATGCCCAAAAACTCAATAATTAATCCAATAGTGTCTTTTAAGAGGAAGCGTCGGCTAATGTTCTCACACTGCTAGAGAAATTTCTAAAGATCTTTTTTTCCTTTCTTGATGTACATCTAGCAATGAGAATGAGGCAAAAAGTTGAAATTAATGCATATAGAATCTAGCTAGTTAAAAGCATTCAAGTAAAGGAAAAAAATTAAACAATAGAAACCACTTCGACCCCAAACAGTTACCAACTCAAAAAGAGACAGAGCAAATGAAAGATGATAATGAAAAAGAAGAGTTAAAAATGTCTATGGAAGACAACTAATTTGATCGGTGGCACCAAAAATAAATAAATTAAAGACATAGATCAAGTATAAAGTTTAAAGAAATCTCCAAACATACTCATCCGCTAAATGAAATAAAATCACCTTGCTATAACTTTTAATGCAAAAGAACATACCCGAAACCAATTGCAGGAAAACAGTATGTGTTCCACAATTATAAAATTTATAGGCTCAAAAGGATCTGCTAAATTGCTAGCACTTACAGTGAAATTAAAAAGAAATAATATATGAATCACAATGAGTAAACTTAAATTGTTGTTAAACCTGTGAAAGAAGAATCAAGAAATTGGAGAAACACAAAAAAAAATTGGTGAACAACTAAAACAAAGAGATAAAGACGGCGAGGAAGAATAAGAAACAAGTGCAAATCACCAACACAGATTTAAAAATTATATATAAAAAAATATTAATCAGTTTTCTTAGGCAAATAATCAAACATCTAGGGTGCATAATTTTGCATTTGTTGGAATAACTTATAAACAAAAGAAAAAAATAATCAAAGTAAATTAAAAAAAAAGCACATGCATGTCGTTACCCCATCCAAAATCATCTATTGATAGTATCTCCGAAAACTAAGAAAACCCAGATGAACATGTTACCATGAAAAAAGCCTCAGCTTCTCCAACTGCAATTCCTAATTTCTTGAGTGTTAGTACCTAGAAATGTACCTTCAGTGTTATTACCTAGAAAATGTACCTGCTGAATCCAACGACGATCTCTCATTCAACTTCTCCCTCACTATTCTCTTCGCGAATTCACGTACTTCTCCAACTGCAATTCCTAATTTTTTCTAAGAACCAATACCAAATGCGCGTTTAATTTTCCAAATCAACGGAAAAGGGACAGCAAATCTCTCACTTCTCAATCTAACACAATCTTCAAATGCTACCGCGAATTCTGCTTCAGGCAGGTTAGGTAACAAATGCTTTGGATCATATCCAAATGCAATTTTACAAATGTTATCAAATGCAAACCTTTGCAACACGTCTTGTAGATCGACAACATTTTTCTCAGCAGCAGCGTTCGCGAGTATGGGAACTAAACGTTCAGATACCTCGACATCAACTACAGATTCAACGAATTTTTGTAGTGATTTAGTATTGAATTTGTGGCTAGCAAATTGTCATTGATACTTCCATATATCGCCATCGACGTTGAAAATGCCATTACTGAGGAAATTAGAGAGAGTGTTATTTGAATTATGACCTTTTTGATAAACAGAGAAATTGGTTTTTAGAATGTGTTGAGGCTTAGATGGATTAGCAGTGATAATTGTGTTGAAATTGAGGGGTCGAATTAGAGTAAACGTAAGTTTAGGGCGTGATATTCAGAAAGAATTTAAACACCCATTAAGATTTTCCAAATAAACCAAAGCAACAAAGAATAAACATCATCATCACTATTTCCCCTGAAAACTAAACCAACCCAAATCCCAAAAAGACCACAACTTTAACACCAAACCCAAATAAAATCACAAACCCACATGCCAAAAGGCTTTATTCAGCAAATTATTGATCACCCACAAAAAAATTCAACAATCCCACAACATAAACCCCAGAATAATGGCCAAAAGAGAAAATAAAAAGACAAAGGGGAAAGTACCTCATAGATGATGAAAAGTTGATTAAAGTTGAGAAAATCACAAACTGTCGAAAGAACACTGCACAGAGAAGAAAAAGTGAGATTGTGGGAGCAGAAAGCATAAGAAGAAGAAGAAATTAAAAAAAATGTTTCTTAGAAGCAGATAAATAGCTTTCTTCTACTCTTGCACTTCCTTCTCTCCCGGCGGGACACTAGTTAAGCGAGAGAGAAATGGCACGAAACCCCACCAATTACACAACATAAAGTCACACGCGGTGGAGAGAGAGAGAGCATGAATTGATTGTAGAAAGAATGATAACAAGTGCTCTGCACACATTTTGATACGTGTCTTTTTCTCTTCAACTTAAGAGACACATAGCATAAATATTTGACTCAAAAGTATGAATTGCCCTTGATCACATAGCATAAATATTTGACTCAAAAGTCTGAATTGCCCTTGATATCAATTTAATTGACATTAACAAGACATGTTGAACATGCCTTTTCTAATATAAGAGTAATATATTGATTGGAGATAGTCTTTTAACTAATTTAACCGTGCTTTATTGTGGTCTGATGTCTTTTTTATAAGTAAAATATAACTTGGAGAGTTACTACTTCTACAATATCAATAACGGGCCCACACATAACATTTACCACAAAGACGATATTAGTGATGTTCTTAACTAATAAGTAGAAGCTCAAATATTTTTAGAGTTCATATAGAAAATGATTGTTTAGTTTTTTATTTTTTTAAAACAATAAGCAATTTTCATTAGCAAAGCATGTAATATTAGTTATTAATCTTAACTACACGCATGCTTCTAATTGATTGAATTATACAATATTCATTTTCTTTTAATTATAATACATTATTAATGATTTATTGTATGTTGCAAGATATTATTCATTAAACAAATATAAAACATATGACACTATTCAATATATTACTTGAGTACAAATATTAATTGGCCTAGTATAAAAGCTAATGATTAAAATGTTGTCACATTCTCATGGAGAAACACATATTATACCTTATTAGCATAAAAATTAGAAATTATGACAAAAATAAGTCTAAATCATTGCCAACTCTATTGTGTCCTTTTCATCATGACCTTTGTTGAAGAAGATGCTGGTGTAATCTGCATAAAGGATTTGTTTGTAAATTGGTTTCTCCCTATTCCGTAGCACTTTTTTTAAAGGACCAATAACACGTGTTGCCTTTGGATGCAAGAAAATGGGTACAGAAACCCTATTGTTGCTCCCGTTAGCAATCACACAATGTTCAACACTCTTGTACTTGTCATTTCTCATTATTTGAAGTGTATCACCAATATTGATTACTAGAGCCCCCTTAACCAGAGGGATATGAATCCAAACATTAGTCTCGTATTTTTTCACATCGAGCCCACCGATATAATCTTGAAGGAGAAGAGTGATTGTTGAGACATGAAAATGACGTCCTACTCCAATTGAACGCTCTGAATTAGGACATTTTGGATAGTAATCGAAGTTTATTCTCTTTTGTAACGACCTGTTTAGTCGTTTTGAGCAGCAGACTTTATTTCTGGAAAAAACTGGCAGAAGCGACGGACCCCACGACGAACCGTCATGGGCACGACCAACCGTCGCAGGGTCTCGTTTCAAAACACTTAGAAAATCTGAAATTGGGTACTGAAAATCGACTCTCTGAACTTCGTGACGGAATGGCAGGACGGACCGTCACAAGCGTGACGGACCGTCATAGATTGTTCAGTGGAAATTGACTCTCTGACCCTTGCGACGACCTGCAGGACAGACCATCGCAGGCACGACGGCCCGTCACAATTTGCATAATCCCAGTTGGAGTCGGATTTCTGGTTAAGTTTTAAGGGACGTTTTTGACTATTCTTGCCTTAATTATGAAGTTCGTGGGTTTATTTTAATAACTCAAATTCTTGGGGTTAAAAGAGGTAACCCTAAGTTAATTAGTGGGGTATTATTGCCATCTTTTATTCTTAATTATATACTAATTAGGATAAAAGAAAGAGGGTTGGAATAAGAAAATAGAAAGAACAAGAAGGGAGAGAGAGAAACGATCGAGATGAAGAGTAAAACACCAAGCTTTGAGGATTAACTTGCTTGATTTCAATTCTTCGGTGGAGGTAGGTTATTGTTTTCATGCTTTCATAAGTAAACTCTTAATAGTGAATTATATGTATTGGTAGTATTGTAAACCCTACTATATGCTTAATGGTATGTTTGCATGAATATGATTATGTGATTGTGATAAGATAAGCATGATGAAAATATTGAATCCCAAATCTTGAAAAGAAACTTTAATATACATTATTAATGATGATGCCTTGGTATAGAAGAAGGCTTGATGAATTAAAGTAATGGGATTGATGATGCCTTGGAATAGAGAAGGCTTGAGGATTTACAGAATGATATTAGTGGATCAGAGTGTCACGTTCCGACACATAGAATAAGGGGATCGGAGTGTCACGTACCGACACATGTAGGGGATCGGAGTGTCACGTTCCGACACATGTAGGGGATCGGAGTGTCACGTTCTGAAACATGTAGGGGATCGGAGTGTCACGTTCCGACACATAGAATTAGGGGATCGGAGTGTCACGTTCTGACACATAGAATTAGGGGATCGGAGTGTCACGTACCGACACATAGCAGTAGGAGATCGGAGTTTCACGTACCGACACAAGAGGAAGAAAGATAATGAATATTGAAAGATGATAATATACTTAACTTAATAAACTTAATTCCCAAATGAGTATGGTGTTGAGGCTTGAGCCCTCATGGATGAACTTGATGGTACTTATTGATGATTATAGTACTTGTTATTGCTACATGTTGAGTTTTATAGTTGATTTACAATAATATTTGATATATACTTTTCCCTATTTTGAGTTGGCCGATGATATCTACTCAGTACCCGTGTTTCGTACTGACCCCTACTTTTATGTTTTTCTTCTTGTTATTTGTGGAGTGCAGCAAACGTGTGGTCATCTTCGACTCAACAGTAACTCAAGCCAGTCTTCGTCACACCGGATCTTCAGGGTGAGCTAACGCTTCTAGCTTGGACTGGATCTTCTCCTTCATGTCTTGATGCCTTGAACTTCCGGCATGGACTAGCTTCTTATGTATTTTGAGCTTTTTAGATACTCTTAGTTTAGTAATTTAAAGGTAGATGTTCTTATGATTATGACTTCCTGATCTTGGGAATAATAATAGTTATTGATTTTATTAATGAGTTTAAGTCTTCCGCATTACTTTCTGTTGATATTATATTGAAATGTTAAGGTTAGATTTGGTTGGTTCGCTCACATAGGAGGGTAAGTGCGGGTGCCAGTCGCTGCCCGGATTTGGGTCGTGACAAACTTGGTATCAGAGCATTAGGTTCGTTGGTCTCATCACACAAGAACAGGTCTAGTAGAGTCTTAAGGAACGGTAGGGGGACGCCTTTACTTTTCCTTGAGAGGCTATAAGACTTTAGGAAAATTTCACTCTTTCATTCTTTCTTTCGTGCTACTACTTGAGTCCAATTGGTATCTAGGCGATACGAATTGGTATCTGACCATCTTCACTCTCTTTATCAGATGGTTAGAACTAGAGCAACGACAACGCCAATACCACCACCAGCACCGGCGGGACAGGGTGCGTCTGAGCCAGCCACTGGGGCTGTAGCTCGAGGAAGAGCAGCGGCAAGAAGCCGTGGTAGAGGTCGTGGGAGGACGTCCTCTAGGGGAAGAGGACGAACACCGAGCCCATCTGGTACTAGGGCGGTGACTCCTCCACCGACTGAGGAAGTAGTAAGAGAGGGGGAGGATGGGGTGAATGAGCAAGTACAGAATGAGGAAATGCCACCCCAACCTACCCCAGAGATGATCAATCAGGTTCTGGCTTATCTTAGCGGGTTATCTTATCAGGGCAAGACACCCCCAGTGTTTTCTGCACCAGCACCTCAGTCTCCGGAGGTACAACATGCGGCTACTATGGCTCCCCGCATGGATGTTCCATTGGAAATAGGCACGTTTCCACGTCTGACTACTGGGCCTATAATGACAAATGATCAGCATGAACTTTTTAGTAAGTTCTTGAAATTGAAACCTCCAGTCTTCAAGGGTGCGGAATCTGAGTATGCTTACGATTTTCTGGTTGACTGTCATGAGCTATTACACAAGATGGGTATAGTAGAACGGTTTGGTGTTGAGTTCGTGAGTTATCAGTTTCAAGGGAACGCCAAAATGTGGTGGCGGTCACATATTGAGTGTCAACCAACAGAGGCACCGCCTATGACTTGGGCATCAGGCCTCATTCTCTAGCTTGTTTATGGAGAAGTATATCCCCCGGACTTTGAGCGATAGGAAAAGGGATGAGTTCTTGAGCCTAGAGCAAGGTAGGATGTCGGTTAATGCTTATGAGTCTAAGTTTCGTGCACTATCCAGATATGCCACTCAACTCTGTTTCAGTCCTCAAGAGCGGATTCGCCGGTTTGTGAAGGGGTTGAGGTCAGAATTGTGGATTTTGTCCTTACAGATAGCGGCAACGACATAATCCTTCCAAGAAGTGGTAGGCTTTGTGATAGAAGTGGAAGGAGTGAAGCAAGACGACTTCACCACAACATCGACATCAAAAAGGTTTCGGAAGGGAGGTGATTTTAATGGTTCTTACACTAGAGGACAGGGTTCGGGAAGTTACTCAGTCCGACCAATTCAGTCTTCACTACAGACTGTAGTTGGGGGACCACCTCAGACCGGTCAACACTTCTCCGTGGGGCCTATGCTTGACTCCAGAGAATGTTATGGATGTGGGGAGATTGGACATATTAGGAAAAATTTTCCCAGACAAAGTTATAGACCACCAATAGCTAGAGGTAGAGGTGGTCATGGTAGAGGCCGTTATTCTGGAGGACGTGGTGGTCGAGGTAATGGTGGTCACCAAAACGGCAGAGGTAATGAGCAAACTGGGACCACTACATCACAACATGGTAGGGGCAACGGACAGACGAACGATAGGGCCCATTGTTACGCTTTCCCTGGGCGGTCTGAAGCGGAGGCATCTGATGCTGTCATCACAGGTAATCTTTTGGTTTGTGACTGCATGGCTTCTATATTATTTGATCCCGGATCCACATTTTCTTATGTATCTTCCGCATTTGCTAATGGTCTTAATTTACATTGTGAATTGCTTGACATACCTATTCGTGTTTCTACTCCGGTGGGTGAGTCTGTGATAGTTGAAAAGGTGTATAGGTCTTGTCTTGTAACTTTTGTGGGGAGCAATACTTATGTAGACTTGGTTATATTAGAAATGGTTGATTTTGATGTAATTCTGGGTTTGACTTGGCTTTCTCCGCAATTTGCGATCTTGGATTGCAATGCTAAAACGTTGACGTTAGCCAAGCCTAGGGCAGATCCGTTAGTTTGGGAAGGTGACTACACTTCCAATCCGGTTCGTATCATCTCCTTTCTTCGTGCTAAGAAAATGATTAGTAAAGGGTGTTTAGCTTTCTTGGCGCATCTCAAGGATTACACTACCCAAGTACCTTCGATTGAGTCGTTTTCAGTGGTCCGTGAGTTTCTTGATGTGTTCCCTGCAGATCTTCTGGGTATGCCACCAGAT